TTCTCGAGACATGCAGTGAGAAAGTGGTTCATATATTGGAACGAGATATCATTTGACTGTATATCAACAATGTCTGTAAGATAGTTTAAATTGCTACTCCTATACTACAATACTCGTTTTCGTTCATGTTTCACAAAAGAATAAAAAAAAAAAAAAGAAATGTTTGATAACATACTGTTTCATCTTTTTTGGTTTCATCTTCATCTTTTTTATCGGTTTCTTTTTTCTTATCATCTTCATCTTCATCATCGGATATTTCTTTTTCACGTTCTTTTTGTACAACTAATTTAATTGGATAACCAATAAATTGTGAATGTTTTTTAATAACTTCTTTAACACGTTTTTCTTCAAGATATTCAGTTTGATCTTCTTTAAGATACATAACAATTTTTGTACCACGACCAAGTGGTTCACCAGATGTATCACGTTTAATTGTAAATGAACCACCAGCACTTGATTCCCAAACATATTGTTCATCATCATTATGTTTTGATGTAACTGTTACACGATCAGCAACTAAATAACATGAATAAAAACCAACACCAAATTGACCGATCATGCTAATATCAGCACCAGCTTGAAGTGCTTCCATAAAAGCACGAGTACCTGATCGAGCAATGGTACCCAAGTTATTAACAAGATCAGCCTAGAAAATATAAATATTTATGTTTAATTTGAAATGAAAGTTTTGGACTTTTTTTTTTATTGTAACTTACTTTTGTCATACCAATACCAGTATCAATAATAGTTAATGTATTACTGGCTTTATCTGGTATGATTTTAATATATAATTCTTTTCCAGTATCAAGTTTTGTTGGTTCTGTAAGTGATTCATAACGAATTTTATCCAATGCATCAGATGAATTTGAAATAACTTCACGTAAGAAAATTTCTTTATTGGAATAAAATGTATTAATAATCAATGACATTAATTGTGCAATTTCAGCTTGAAAAGCGAATGTTTCAACATCGCCACTTTCATGTTCCATTTTGTCTGACATGTTTATTGGATTTTGATGATATCGACAAATAAAGTAGTGAACGCTAGCAAGTAACGACGAGTGTTGACGAGAGAGAAATGCAAGTTCAGCACAGAAACGCACTACAATTTATATACGAAAGCTCGACGAAACGAGTAGAACAATCGAGAAGAAACGAGAAGTCAAGGAAGGACAAAAAGAATAAGAGTATATTTTGATTTTTTCTTTCTTTCTTTCTTTCTTTCTCTCATTATTACCATGCTGTTTCTTAGCCTAGGTCATTAAATTGCTACGAAGAAAGTATATGATGCAATACAGTATCATCGGATAAATGGACTAAACTAGAATTCCCTGGATATCTATCTAAATAAGAAAAACAATTGCGCATTTAAATTTTCTTAAAACAAAATTGTCTTCGATCAAGTCGATATTAGTTCATATTTTTTACACGACATTGAATCGTGATAACCTTGACGATGAAAATATTTGTTTCGTGTAATTTGTGTGAAGGAAGAAGAAGAATTATGTTCCATGACAAAATAATGAATCATGGTTTTTTTCACTGTACAGAGTCACTGGGAAAAAAAGGAAATGCGTTGTCATTTACGGATAAAAGAAAACGAATAAGTTGGTTTTTTTTACACTAATTTCAATCTCGATCGTAGAAATTAGTAATTCGCATTTTTTTATGCTTAATCATTGAAAGTATCGTTACAAAAGTTTGTTTTACTAAAAACAAAACTTGTTGTTCATCTATTGCATATTGTTTATGATGAGTAATTGTCAAATATTTATTATTCGATTGTATACTAATTAAACTTATCAGCATATCATAATTAAAAGATGCCTTTGTTTTAGACGTGCAAATAAGATGTTTTTATCCTTATAACGAAAACGCGATGCTATAAAATAAAATGCATATCTGTTTCGAATAGTTTTTTTTTTTTGTTTGAAGGTGACTTTCAATTTTATTCATTATATTATTACAGGCAAGCTATATAAGTCGAAAAATATTAGAATAAAAATAAAATTAAAAAAAATATTTTTATATAATTATCATTATACTAGAAGTTTCGAAAGTCTTCTGGAGAACAAAACTTGAATAATTCTTCAACAGTTCATTCAAAATACAAGTTTTTTTCATCATTCGATTTCATATTTATCATGAAAATTTTATTCATCAGATTGCAGAAAAAATAACTGTACTTATAAATATTACAATACAAATTGTTCTCTTAATGGCAAAATTTGAATGATTTGCAATCATGAAATGAAAGCAATTAGTAAAGTCTGAGAAAAAAATGCTAATAAAAAATGATATTAAAAAAGGTGTTTGAATACTTTGATCAAAGTGATATTGTAGCAGATTAGACACATTCTAAACATTTTTCAGGTATCAAATATTCTGGTTATTTGCAAAGTTTGTTCAATAATGTACTAAATAATGACAGAGTTCAATAACTGTACATTAATTTCTGAGTAGAATTTTTTTTATATTGCAGGATTCGAAAGAATGTTTTTATTGGATAAGCTTGCTGTACGCGTCACTTAATATGATGCGAAGTTTTTCTATAAGAATGCATGAAAAACGATATTTACTAAAGATCACGTTGAAACTTAATATTAAAAATTGTTAACGAAAACAAAATGGTTTCGTAGAAATTCTCGGCAATGTCTTTCTCTCATATGTGTAAACAATAAATGGTGTGTTTCAGTTTAGTGTGTTAATTTTGAGACGTGGATGCAAATAAAATTATACGAGATAAAACTTTCTAAAAAATCTGAAATAAAATAATTGAAAGCACATGAATATCACTTGAGTTATTTTTTTACTTTTTTTTTCCGAAAGCTGTTGGAATTCCTTGTATAATTCGACTTAATAAAGTTAAAATCTATTCGAAAAGAAAATATTATTAAAATAAAATAGTTCGATGAGAAACAAAATAAAAGATTGTTAGATGGTATTAAATATTAGTTTAATGAAATATGACCACGTATGTTTGATTATATGATTAAAAATAAAATCCGTTCGAACAAACATGCAACACAGATACGTAATTATCCGAAGTTTGTTATTTGAAAAGATAAATAATACACATGAAATATTGTTCATAATATCAAACGAGAAATATTTAGATTTGCTCTTTCTTTTTTATTATATTCATAGACAATCTTTCATGGTTTTTCTGAGATAGATCTAATTAAGTAAGAGTTGAATCTTCGTACTAATTATTATGCACCAATCGTATATACGAAGAAGATTTATTCGATCTAATTTCATCATATAATTGTTCTCTTATATTTGTCTATCATGTTGTTATTATTATTATTATTCATATTGTGTCCGAAATATATGCAATTATATGAAATGTTACCTGATTCATTAGTAAATCGAACACAAATATGTCAAATTAATTGTACACAAAATCAAACTATGTTAGATAATTTTAAGAAAATTTCTGGATGTGTAAAAGGTCATTTTAAAATATGTGAAGCTTATTTAAGTATGGATTTTAATACACAATTAGTATCATATAGTTTTACAACTGCTGATGCCATTGATATTGTTAACGAAAATTCTTCATTAATACGAGCTGATTTAGTTATGAATTATTTATCTTATATTAAAACTGATATAACAGCCATACGATTTCGACAATTAACAATGAAATTTTCAAAAACAAATCCTCATCGACTTAATATTAATTATTGTAAGTTTATTACTTTTATTTCAATAGATAATAATTTATTATGAATAGTTTGTCGAACACAAATTGATGATGTAAGTTCGATGAATTTATTAGTTTTCTTTTTTGTTTTACATTGTTTTTTTTCTAGTGTGCCTATCTCGGTAAATTTTCTCAATTACAACTATTGATAGTTATTTATTATTTAGAAATCGAAACAATTTATCCAGTATATAAAGCAAATCAGCATATTTTAAAACGTATTCAACCAATATTCTATGATCCATCAATATCTTATGGTACAAAAATCGAATGTATGAATGATATATTAAATGAAACGACAAGTTTATGTTCAGGTTATTGTACATTAACATTAGGTTTACATACAATGACTAAAAGTTGCAATGAAACATTGTCATCTGATGCATTAGGTATCAATATGTCATTAGGTTTAGCTTATCCTAATAATCCAAAATTTACTGCTCAAGTATCTAGTCTTGTACTTGTATGTAATAAACCAAATTGTAATAGTAATACATCAATAACAAAAGTTATAGCTATTGCTAATGCTTTTCTTACAGCTCAATCGATTGGAATACGGATCATAGTCATCCATCAATCTTTCTTATTATTTTATGGAATATTGTTGTTGTTTATTGTATTACTAAGCGTATAATAAAATTCAAGGTTTGTATTTTACTGCTCAGTAGTTTATGTTAAGTAAAAAATTATTTTTAGCATAGTAAATAATATGAAAAGTTCTGTAACTAATTAAAAACTAATCAGTATTTTATTTATTTTTGTACACTTTTTTTATTTATTTACATAAGTAAAAATAGTATAATTACTATTAACAGACCTTTAGTGCATTAGTGATGCTTTTGTAGATTTTGGTGGTCTACTGCAATGTCTTTTTTCACCGGCTTTAATATATTTAGCAGCAAGTGACGGTGCAGCAGTTTAACCTAGTTGCCATATAGACATCATGTATTTACACGTAGACTTTTTGAAAAATACTAGACTATTACACAGACAACACTAAAGCATGTCTTTTATTTCTCAAACGACAACTATGAGTATTCTGAACGAACTAGGAAAAATTCATTGACGCTTGGAAGAAAACATGATGAGAGGAAAAAAATATCTTAATTATATCAACAAAAGAGACCGTTTGGAAAATACCTTAGAATGAAGCAAAAAACAAGAAAAGGTATATATGAATATTCTATTCTACGTAATTCATTTTGACTAATATGTCATCATGAGTCAACATGAAGAAACAGTACTTTATTTACACTAAAATGTTTTTATAAAAAGAAAATGACTACTGATATAAGTATTAATCATTTAATGAGTAAATAAATTTTTAATTGAGCAGACTGTATTCGTTACTGATATTCAAATTTTAACATTGAACGAATTATTAATCGATTGAGCAAACAATTATTTAACTGAACAAACATACTAGTTATTGCACACTAAATTTTATACTGATAGTTTGATTTATTTACTAATAATTTATATACAATACTGAGCAAATTATACTGAACATTTAATGTATTCAGAAAATTAAGTTAAGCTGGTTTTATGAAAGACAATCTAAAAGGCGCGTTGAAGTATAGAGGTGAAAATTTGGACTCCACTCTCCACAGACTATAATAGATGTTGTTGACATACGAGGACATATCACATATCAATAATGTCTCGTTACAATATTTGAACTACTTCCATATTGTATTACTGGAGAATTAAATAAAAGGATGATAAAGAAACGTATTTCAAAATAGATAGATTAAAATAATCTCTTTGTGATTAGCACGAACAGCTACCTCGCGTTTTCACATTTCAATGCGATTGGAATTTCAGTAACAATTTTTCTTTGTAGCAAAAAAAGGATTAGTAAACTTTTTATTCTCAGTGGAAACTAAGAAACATCTAGATTTCTAAAAGACACTATCATTTTATGAGCTCATTCAAGAGATCATCTATAATAGTTGTGCGGCTCATGGGATAAATCAAACATTTCTGAACGTCCAGACGATTTTCGAGGAAATTTTCAAGGTTAGTCTGTTTTAAAGGGCATTTCTAAATAGGAAATCAACTGAATCGATCGCCTGAATATGAATACGATGTTGAAATAATCCAAGATTATGCTATAAGAGTCAGCTGCCATTTTCTAGAGCAGCTGTATGAAATTTTCGTGTGCCATTTGTATAGAACTTCAGTTTTTTTTTATTTTACTATTTTTTGGTCATTCAAATCAAATGTATATAAAAAACAAAAGCTTTGCAATAGGTTACATTTTTGCTTGTTGTTTATGAAATGTGTGTTTTC